TGTGTCTGTGTGTGTCTGTGTGTCTCTGTGTGTGTCTGTGTGTGTGTGTGTGTGTGTGTGTGTGTGTGTGTGTGTGTGTGTGTGTGTGTGTGTGGTTAAGAACCCTGGGCAGTAGAGATTAGCCAGTTGCTATGTTTATGGCCATCCTAAGTGAGTTTCCCACTTGGCTCACCTGTAAAGTGAGCCCAACAGTATTATGCACACTTGGCACTGGCCTAGCATGCACTGAGCAGTTTACAGATGTTAGTCACTGATACGGTGCATTACTAATCCACATTCAGGTTTGCTCGATGAGTTGTTTTCTCTGTTTTTACCTATCCAATGAGCTGAGATGTTGAAGATTATGATTTTGTTTTTCCTTTTCTCTAAAGTTAGTATTTTTGGTGGTTTCATCAGTTTTTATTGAAGCTTATAATTGAGATTTCAATGAAAAGTGACCTATGTATAACTTAGATAATCACCTTATTGTAGAAATGAATGCAAGTAGGGAAATGAATGTTTACTCCTAAGTCTCAGTGAGAGAGAGGCTTTGTAAAGCCTAGAGGGAGGAGAGATATCTAGAGGGGCAGCCTTTAGCTGGTGCAGTGTCCCAGCCACAGCTCTGCCTTGTTTTGGCTGCATCATCTCAGTTACTGTTTATTTAGTTACAGGTGTTGACAGTGGTTCAAGAGTTTATGTAGAGTGTTTGGGGTCCCATCTGGGCTGAAATCTGAAGCCATCACTTACCTGTTGGCATTAAAGAATTAGATTAACATGGACTTTACAGCATTGCTACAGATATTATAATTTATAAATATGCATTTCTAGCCCTGTGCCTGACTTGTGTTTAAATACTATTAAGGCTTAGTTTCTTTATCTGCAAAATGTAGATTTGAAAATATTCTTCACGAGGGGCTGGAGAGATGGCTCAGTGGTTAAGAGCACTGGCTGCTCTTCCAGAGGTCCTGAGTTCAATTCCCAGTGACCACATGATGGCTCACAACCATCTGTAATGAGATCTGGTGCCCTCTTCTGGCCTGCAGGGACACATGCAGATAGAACATTGTATACATAATAAATAAATAAATCTTAAAAAAGATAAAATCTTAAAAAGAAAATATTCCTCATGAAAGACAACTCATTTTTGACTCAGCAGGTAAAAATACAAAAGTTTGGTAATTTTAATGAGTTATGGAGGAATGGGTATTGTTGATACCTTGATGGTAAACGACAGTAGAGAAAATTTATGATTTATTATCAGTAAATTTTGGATTTATATACCTACTTCACATACCTGTGTACTCAGGTTGCATAACAAGTTCTCTGTAGCAAAGGTGACAAATAGGAAAAGTGTAAGAAGCCTGCAGTGACATGTCTGCAGTGACCCTGTGTGTGTAAGAAGTCTGCAGTGACATGTCTGCAGTGACCCTGTGTGTGTAAGAAGTCTGCAGTGACATGTCTGCAGTGACCCTGTGTGTGTAAGAAGCCTGCAGTGACATGTCTGCAGTGACCCTGTGTGTGTAAGAAGCCTGCAGTGACATGTCTGCAGTGACCCTGTGTGTGTAAGAAGCCTGCAGTGACATGTCTGCAGTGACCCTGTGTGTGTAAGAAGCATGCAGTGACATGTCTGCAGTGACATGTCTGCAGTAACCCTGAGTGTGTAAGAAGCCTGCAGTGACATGTCTGCAGTGATGTCTGCAGTAACCCTGTGTGTGTAAGAAGCTCGCAGTGACATGTCTGCAGTGACATGTCTGCAGTAACCCTGTGTTTGTAAGAAGCCTGCAGTGACATGTTTGCAGTGATGTCTTCAGTGACCCTGTGTGTGTAAGAAGCCTGCAGTGACATGTCTGCAGTGACCCTGTGTGTGTAAGAAGCCTGCAGTGACATGTCTGCAGTAACCCTGTGTGTGTAAGCGAGGTACCTAACAGCACATAGCAGCTATCTTTTATCTCAAAGAGAAAAAAAGTATGTTGATTTTTGTATTAAAAATAATTGCAGGACAGCCCCAAATGAATATATATGATTATCTAAGGGGTGGAAGTCCAGTAGAGGAGATAAGATTCAGATGGCAAACTAGGAATGTGGTGGCAGGCACCTATAGTTCAGCACTGAGGAGGCAGAGGTAGCCAGAGTAAGAGTTGATCATCCTGTACTCTGTAGTGAGTTCAAGGCCAGCCTGACCTATACACTGAGGCCCTGTTTAAAAACAGACAAAAACATAGTTGGCTAGATTTGTGTGGATGTACCTCATTTTGAAAGTTAGGCTTTAAAACTATATATTCTGTATAATTATACAGCAAAATCATAAAAGTGAAATGAAAACAAAAAGCAATTCCTAAAAATTACAAAGCAAACAAAACTGTGTTTATCAAACTATTGACTAGGTGAATGGTCTGGGAATGAACTCATATTGTATTTTGAATTAAAGCTACCTCCCTGATAGAGAAATGTCTTCCTGGATTGTCAGGAAAATAAGGAACTATTTACCAATCCTGGGAACAAGTCATAAGACTCACTGTCCATGTGAATAAGCTCCTACTAACCAGAGAGACAGGGCGATTTAAATCTCAGAGTGAAAGCAGAGTAGCTTCTGCTACTTTGAGTATGCTAAAATCTGTGAGTATATGATGCCTAAGAAAACCTTAGTTGCAGAGAGAATAAGTATAGAAAATTGATCTCTTTCTAATACAGTTGAGGTGATATATAAGGTATCTTGAAAATTTAGTGTCTTAGCTAATACAACTTGTGGAAGTATATAAATGATAAATCATGAAATAAATAATATATTTATATATAGTTAAGATCTCATAGGTCCTCTTTAGCTTTACTTCCTAAACTAGAAATTTGCATTTATGCTTTTTTTCACTGTAGTTCTTACTATTGGGACAATACAGGGCTATTAAGACCATTTGGTATTGTGTTATTTATTATATTTTAAATTGCTAGAAAAATGTGAAAAGGCCAAATACTAGTTACATAGAGTAAGAATAATCAGTAAATTGTACAGCTGTTCCACTCTGTCCTGAAAGCAGCTGTGATCACAAATCAGTATAGTTAATGTCTATATTCTGATAAAGTAATTATAAAAACAGACAGCAGGGCTTGGCAGAGAGGACTAGAGGGTTTCCCCCTAGAGAAAGCAAGAAATTAAAAAAAGAGGATTTAGAAGTAAATAAGAAAAATTAAGAGTTCTTCTGCCCTTCCCTTTCCTCTCTCCAGCCCTCCATATCCCACAACCTCAAAGTGATGGCCTCTCTCTCTCTCTCTCTGTTTACATACTAATATATAAATGTATCATGGGGTCCCATGAGATTTTTTTTCTCCCTTCCATGAGCATCACTGCTGGTACCATCTGTTCAGGTCTTATTTATGCAGCCATTTCTTTTTTTATTTTTAATTACTCATATTTACATATCTATCCCCCCATTCCCTCACCCTCCCATCCTCCCATGTTCTCCACCCCCCCAACCCCACTCCTCTCCAGGGATAGTGAGGCCCTCTACCAAGGACCTTCAAAGTCTGTCCAATTGTTTGGGGGAGGGCCTAGACCCTCCTTGCCTAGACCCAGTATGTATCTGGGCTTATGCAGCCATTTCTAAGAAGCAGTCTTACACCACCATTCCTTGTATTCTAGCTCTTATACTATGTCTGCCTCTCCTCCTTGATGTTCCTGAGCCATAGATGCAGGTGCATCTATTGGGGCTGGGCTCCTCCCAATCCATTACTCTCTGTGTTGTGTCCAGTTGTGGTTTTCTGTAGTGATCTCCATATGGTGTAGAGAGAAGCCCCATTTATCTGTGGGAATGAGGCTAAGAGTTAGAATGTAGTTAAGGAATTTTGCTGGTCTGGCAAAGTGATATTGATTCTAAGACTGACCTGCCAGGAGGCCCCAGCTGTCTAGGTTTTGAGTACCAGGCATGCTTTCCTTCCTATCGAGTAGGCCTTAAGGTTACTTAGACAGCTGTTGGTTACCACAGACATGAGTTTGTGCCTTATGGATATCTTGTCATGCTGGTCACTATCGTAGTTCACAGGTGTGGCAGCAGGGTAGGCCTATTGATTGCTGCCTTCCTTGGCAACTTGTCTATCTAGTACTTTCTGGTACTGTGGGAGCTAGGTTGCTGGAAGGAGGCTTTGGGTTAGATTCAGCTCTATGTCTTCAGCAGTAGGGGTTTACTTTCGACCTCTGTGAGGTATCCAAGGATAATAGAAACAACCTATATATTGGGGAGTTATCTGGCCTCCCATGGGGCTATGGATCTGAACAGAGATCAATGGAAGAAATAAAAATGGCAAGGACATAGCCCCCAAAATGTTCATCATTCTTAGCAGCTAGGGAAATGCAAATTAAAACAACTTTGAGACTTCCTCTCACCCTTGTTGGAATGGCTAATATCAAACAACTTTTCTTCATTTTTAAACTGTTGTTTCTTCCTTTCTAGGTATAAGGGTCCATTGTTAGAGGAACAGGCACTCTCCAAGGCAGCAGAGGGTGGACTGTCTTCGCCTGAGTTTTCGGAGCTCTGCGTTTGGTTAGGCTCTCAAATAAAGTCCTTATGCAACTTGGAAGAAAGCATCACTTCTACCGGTATGGCTGCCCTGCTGTGTCCACCCTTCTACTCACTAGGAAAGCAAATTGTAACTTTATCAATAGTGCAACCACTGTATAAGGAAAAATCATTACTATGATGAACCTCAGTACTGGGTTTTAAAAAGTTTGAATTAAATTTTAAAGCAGTCCAAAACTGATTCTTAAATTTGCCCCAAAACTGTAAGCCATCACTGCCTGTCTGGAAAAGGTAGTATGAATTTGCTATCTTAAAAACTGAAGCTTTTCACTATGACTCATTTTGAATTAAGTTTTAAAAATATGTATACTCTTCAATTTAGATATTATTCTCAAGTCTTTATCTAGGACATGGATTCACATGCCAATATTGTGATTATAAACTTCTTAGTATCTTATGCTGATCTTTTGCTTCATCGTCATCTGGTAACTGGAGTCTTCATGCATCTGGTAGAATTTCACGTAGTCTGATAAAGTGAAAAACGAGTAATTATTGGGTATTCACCGAGGTAAAAAAGCAGCAATCTTTTCCAAAGTGATTACTTTTTCAGTTAATTGCTTTCCTTGTCATACATGACAGAATTCATTTGAAATAAAATATCTCCATTTAAAGCATGATTCAGATTCCTCATAATTATATTAAAGATAGCAGTGAAGTTAAGTTCCATGATTGCTTTCATTATCTGAACACACAGAAGCAGCAGACTTGGACAGTTGCCCTTGAACCAGTTAATAGCTATTGCTCTTACAATGCTTTTGAATATTCTGGTTGGTATTACTCAAAATGTCCAGCTTATCGGATTTCATGGAGACTCCATTTGAAGAGACTTAGATGTAGAAATATTTCCAGTCCTATGATCATGTCCTTCATGTTCTTAAACCTACATGTCACTTTCTGTGTGCAGACAATTATGTGCTTGCTTCTCCCCAAGCCTTGCAGTTACCTATCTAAAGATGAAAGTGAAAGTGAAAATCTGGACCTGAATGTAAAATGGAAATCAACTGTGATGAGTTTTACAGTGGTGGATTATGTGCTGATTAAGCGCTCAGTGAATACCTGTGACTTCTTTTAAAGGGAGAGATGACCTAGAGAGCTTCCAGCTTGAGATAAGTGGATTTTTAAAAGAGATGTCCTGTCCATACTCGGTACTCGTATCAGGAGATATTAAAGACCGCCTCACGAAGAAGGACGACTGCTTGAAACTTCTGTGTAAGTTGTCTTCTCTTGAACATTTAAATGCAGGTGTTCAACGAATTTTTGTTATTTTCAGATCAGAATTTATACTCTGATTATTGAGACCTTAGATATCTTACATACTGAAAAGGCTTTTGTGTTTGACTAAAAGTATTGGACTGTCTTAGACATTCTTACATAAACAGCTTAAACTCTACTAGCATACCTTAACACTCACCGTATAGTCAGTAAAACCCCGTGTTTGTGCTTTATTTTAGTAAGTTGTTCTTTGCTTGACTCATCCCTGGCCATCTCTGCAGCCTTACTTAATTTTTAAAAATTCTTTGGAAAATTAGGCTGTTGTGCTGATTACTCTGCAGTGTGTCTTCTCTGCAGTGATGGGCACTGGTTGAAACATTTATTGATCACCTTCTCTTAAACCAGAAACTGCTCTAGGCACAAGGACTACATCACAGAAAATCAGATAAAATGTAGTGTGTGCCTTCAGAGTTCTTGACTGAGGCTTGTTTTTCCCAGGGAGGAGCATGTATCAATCTGTATTCCTAAAGCTGCTCTTAGGGTGCCCTTAGAGTATTTTGTTGGACTTTGTGTTGTTTTTAGATTCAGTGAACAATGGCTATTTGTCATTCAAGTTTGAGGTGTTCTATAGTTGCTCTTCTCATTGGTTCTTTATAAGATAGTCTTGATTTTGATATTGTTAATACTTGTTTATGTTAATTGGTTCAGCAATTGTTTTTCAAGAAATTCTCATGCATGTGTTAATGTTATGTTTCCGATTTTTTGTTACAGTGTTTTTAAGTACAGAACTTCAAGCTTTACAAATATTGCAGAAGAAGAAACATAAAAATTCTCAGTTAGATAAAAACAGTGAAATTTTCCAGGAAGTTCAAGCTGTGTGTGATGCCCTTGGGGTCCCCAAGTCAAACACTTCTGACATTCCACTTCTACTGAGCCAAGTGGAATCAAAGGTATTTTCTTTCTTTCTTTCTTTCTTTCTTTCTTTCTTTCTTTCTTTCTTTCTTTCTTCCTTCCTTCCTTCCTTCCTTCCTTCCTTCCTTCCTTCCTTCCTTGATTATCAATTTCAACAGAAACTTGTCTTACTAGAGGTTTATATTGATGGTAGATCCCTGGCCTACCATATGGAAGGTCCTGGGTGCCCTCCCCAGTACCAAAACAAAATACTCCCCCCCAAAGTTTTATATGTAAGCTAAGTTTTTGATTTATGTTTAATATGCATATAATTTAATTTGTAATTAATATTCAAGAATCATATCTTGATGAGTGAGTCCTAAGGCTTTGCCAGAGTTTTCCATGATAAAAATCACTTTTCAAATTCAAGGATTGCTTTCTTAGCTAAGGTTGTAATGCAATACACTGAAAGAAGTGGTTATTTTGCAAGGTGAAAGACACTCGCCTCCCCACACCCCATGGGATATTTGCACTCTGCTTTCTTTGGCAGTGAGCAAGCATACTTTGTTGATTGTTTAGTGTGTATTGTGTAGCAAATGAATAAGTAAGTACACTGATAGGGTAGTTAAAAGCAACTATAATCTTGTACCTCCTGCATTTTGCCTTATCGTGCCATCCAGACTATTTACCTAAAATAGCTCCTTGAGCCATTCAGTTCCTATCAGAAGTAAAAAATTCTGTGTTTTATTTTTTCTGCAAATGATGTTCCTACAAGATACTCTGCTGTGATTGAGAAAGACATTTTTTACTTTCTAACTTAAGCTGTTCAGTAATGTGACAGCAAATCCATGTCATTTACTGTTAATCATATTTACATGTTGTGATAATAGGTGTTTTTATTGCTTGCAACCTCCATGGGAGGAAACTGAGGTACTGTTTCCCAGTGTGGTAGAGCTGATGTTTGAGTGTAACAAATCTTTCTCTGTTCTGCTAGCCAGCTCCCAAATAATGACACAGAGACTTCTTATTAATTATGAAAGCTTGGCCATAGCTTAGGCTTATGTTTAACTAGCTCTTATAACTTAAATTAACCCATTTCTATTAATCTGTGTTCTGTCACATACTGCCCATCCTGCTTCTTCCATTTCTCTGGCATCTCTAATGCACCTAGATTCATCTTCTACTTTCTCTCTGCCTGGAAGTCCTGCCTGTACTTCCTGCCTAGCTATGGGCTGTTCAGTTCTTTGTTAAACCCATCTAAGCAGTATATTTTCCACAGTGTACAAATATCCCACATTTGAGTGTAGGCAGTCAGCTCCCAGAGCTGCTGCTCTTGGCTCAGTCTATAGCAAGTTTTTTTTTAAAGTCTCATTGCATTTTAGAAATCTAAAAAATTACAAATGTTTGTACATTTAGTGTCCTCTTGAGGGAGAGGTGGCAGCTGACCCATAGTTGTTAAGATATATAAAGTAACCCTACAGATAGTTATGGTGTTGGGAAGCTTACAGAAATATGTAACATGAATAAGTAAAAGATCCAGAGACTGATATTGGGATTCAAACTTTAAGTTGAATACCAGAAAAGCAAAGCAGCTGGCCACTAGTTCAGCCTGAATGGGTTGATCTGTCTCCACAAGCTCTCACCAAGCCTCGGACTGTACCCTCTCAGCATGGCTGGAGAATGAATGCCTAATACTGAATCCTGATACTGATTTATGTACCTCTCATGAGTCCTGGGATTAAAGGTGTGAGCTATAATTCTCTTTTAGACTGATTCACTTTGTGTAGTTCTGGGTGGCCTTGGACTCACAGAGACCTGTCTATCTCTTAATCCTAACTCCTAGGATTAAATGTGTGTACCACCACCTCCTAGTTTCTGGCTGCTGGGATTAAAGGCTTCTATGGCTTGTGGCTGACTTTGCTTTCTGAATCCTCAGGCAAGTTTTAATAAATCATAAATAATATATTACTACAGAAACAGCATGTTTTAAGAAAATAAATGAATTTGGAAATGATACCACATCCCATACAGTAACTATGTGGTCAGTGTAGAGGTAGATGGTTCTGAAGATGAGAAGGTTTAGAATTTGGGGCAATGCTGCAAGGTTCATTGTAAGCTAATGTTTAAGTGTAACTCTCAAGGTCCAATCTGCATGTCAAAATCTACCTATATTAATTGTACAAAGTAATGAATTTTAGTCTGTTTTCTATGTTGTGTAGCCATTATTATAATTATTGACTAATTTTAGAAAATTCTTAACACCAAAACCCTTGTTCCTGTTTACAGTCATTTCTTATTATCATCCCAGTTTTCAAGGTGATTTTGAATTTTTTTACATTCATTTACTTTGTTTTCCCTGCATGCGTGGATGTGTGCCACATGCATGCCTATTGTATCCCAAGGAATTGGGGTTACAGATAGTTGGGAACCACCATATGGTATCTGGTAATGGAGCCCAGATCCTCTGAAAGAGTAATGAGTGCTCTTAATTGTTGAGCCATCTCTTCAGCCTGATTTTGAATTCTTAAAGCAACATTACTGCTTCTGATTATTTGCTGTGGTTGTTGTATAAGACATCAAACCACTCTTTAGTTAGGAGGGCAAGCCCCAACTTAGAATGTTACTCTGCAGTCAGTTTCTTCAAGCTAAATTATTGTTATTGGAATGACCTGTGATGATACTAAAACATAATTGTCTAATGTCTCATTTTGAGACCCTAAATCAGTGGCCTTGTAAAACTGATTAACATGTTTGTGTCAGGACTGCAATAAGAGTTTATCCCATGTTGTCTTGTAGAGCAGTGAAATCAGAAGAAGTACAAATTACAGTATTTATTTGAGAAAAATTGATGGACTTAAATGTCACGGTTTCTCTCTTGAGAGTTTACGAGAAAATAAAGAGTTCCATCTTGAGAGGAAATTCCAACATGATTATACACACACCGTTTTAACTTCACTCTCTCTTACTCCGGCAATAATGCTCTGTGGTTCTTGTGCACTGGGGATCTGGCACTGCCAGGACCCTCTTTCCTGCTGGGTAAAGATTTGTTTTAGTTGTTTTCTTTAGCATGACTATTATTTGGTATTCAAAACAACACATCAAATCGGAATAAGATGGTTTTAAATTATATATGTGTATTTTTTTTGTAATCTTTCATATTTACTTTTAGGTGAAGGATATTCTCTCTAAAGTCCAGAAAAATCATGTGGGAAAACCACTGCTGAAGGTTGATTTAAGTTCAGAACAGGCAGTAAGTGTTCCATTTACTAATTTTGTAACTAAATGAAGGCATACCTGTGCTGGTTCATTTTTAACGTGTGTTACCATTGTGAAGAGGCCCAGCTCACAGCTTTAGACTCAACGTGTAAACCGCAAGGTGCCAGCTCTGGCAAGTGCACCTTTGGCCCTGTCACTTGCTGATGGGTAGGAAGGCTGGTGTGTGTGCATGAAGAACATACCAGATGAAAAGTCATGAGGCTGGCATCCCACCGTCCTCTTCAGGGTCATTCCTACAGTGCACATAAAACTTCTCCCTGCAGACTCTGTACCCTTTCCTATTCCCTCTCAACCCCTGCCACCTTGCAAACCAGACCTCCAACACAGGTACTTTCTAGGGGACAAGCAACATCCAGTCCATTGCACTGGTTTCCTTAGTATCTTGGAGAATTAGAACAGATATTCTAGAGTAATCTATCATAATACTTTATTCAAGTTATTAATTTAAAATATCTACTTAGCCCAAAATATTTATAGTGGCCAGTACATTAGCAGAGCTGTGATTTGAAAAGGGTAGTTTGTGAGGCCAGCAAGATGGACAGTTATTGGCATGTTATTTCCTTAATGAGCACTGCTTAGCAAATTGATGTTTTACTTAAATAAATATATATAATGAAAGGTAAACTTCTTTAATAGCTTCTGACCACTATAAATGTTTTATCATTAAATGTTATTTAAATATTTTTCCATATCCTCATAGGATCATAAAATAATCATTAAGTATGTTATTATTTAAAATACAATAATATTCAAATTTCTCTCAAAGAGCCTAATCTTGTGGTTTCATCACCAAATTTTCTAGGAAAAACTGGAAAGAATTAATGATGCTCTTTCCTGTGAATATGAATGCCGCCGGCGGATGTTAATGAAACGATTGGATGTGACTGTGCAGTCATTTGGGTGGTCTGATAGAGCTAAGGTGAGACTGCTTTCCCACTGGTGTCCTGTAGGTGGTAGTGTGGGGCAGCTCCTATCCTGCTGTCTCTTGCTGTTAATACCTAGGCCACTTTCACACTTCAATTCTATTCTGAGCCACATGTTCAGCTTACCACTGCTCTTACATTCAATGATTATAGTCTCATACAGGTTCATGTTTGCTGCTGAGTTCTTCCCTGGCTTTCTCCTTTGGTTTTAATTTGCACGGTTTTATTTACTTATTTTAAAGTTTTTAATTTTTAAAAAAGATTCATTTATTTATTAGGCACACAGTGTTCTGCCTGCATGTACATCTGCACACCAGAAAGGGCACCTGATCTTACTATAGATGGATGTGAAGCCACCATGTGGGTGTGGGGAATCGAACTCAGGACCTCTGGAAGAGCAGCCAGTGTTCTTAACCTCTGAGCCATCTCTCCAGCCCACGGTTTGATTGCTGTTAATGTAAAATGAGTATTTCTGTGAGCTCAACAAGGTAGAGATAGTGAGTAACTAATGAAGAAAACAGTGTGGAAACAGGGTTAGGTAGTACTGTAGGTGCCGGAGCGGGTTTCTTGTTTCTTAGGCTGGGTGATTGTGGCATGTATGCTCACTGAAGAGAGTTGTGGGATGAAGCCATTTCCAGCTAGCTTTCCAGATAGCTTAGTGCCTTTAATCTTTACCTAGTGTCAGCCTGGGGTTCTCTGCTCCTCACTCATCATAGTGTAAATAGGGGCAATCACAGGACCTTCTTTCCTTCCTTTAAGGACTGCCATCTTAGGCTCTGTGGTGGCCAGTACATGACAGTCATTGATTGCCATTGTTTGTCTAGCAGCTTTTAGTCCATACCCTTCAGAGGGTGAGTCTGGTGCCTGTTAATTCAACTTTGACCACAAGTGGAGTTCTGATTGTTGTTATTGTAGGAGCAATTGAGCAATTGAGTTGTGACACTTGGTGTCACATACCACCGTGATTCATAATCTAGAAGCTTGGTTTCCACCATGGCGGTGGTCAGAGGAGTCTAGTGGAAGATAGGCCATCCGACCTCATGAATGGCCTAATCCTGGTCTCAAGGTTTGGGCTTATAGGAATGAGTTAGTGGTTTGTTTACAGTGCAGCTGTCATGAAGTTGACCCCTATGTAACACAGTTTTTCTCTTTCCATGTTTTCTATTTCATTAATTCTCCCCTGATCTTTATATTCCTTGCCATCTGCAGGGCTTGGGATTGGCTGCTGGTTGCTTTTCAGGAGCCTTGAGATGCACCATAAGGTTGCTGATTTGATATCCGTCAGTTTTTTACTGTGAGAGGGCTGCCTTCCTTTTTAGAGCCCCCAGAGGTTCTGAGAAGTTGTCTTCTCATTGTCATTTATCACTAGGAATTTTAAATTTTCTTGTATTTCTTAGATGATCCACTGCTAATTAAACATGTTTAGTCTCCAAATCTTTAATTTTATTCCACTGTGTTCTAATAGGACATAGAAAGGAGTCTCTCTCTCTCTCTCTCTCTCTCTCTCTCTCTCTCTCTCTCTTTTGTATTTGTTGAGACTTGAAATTTGGGTCCTATTATAGGATTGGCTTTGGAAAAGGTTCTATCTGCTGCTGAAAAAAAATCTGTATTCCTTTGTTAGGTGGAATATTCTATATATATCTATTATGTCGAGTTGATCCATAGTGAATTTTAGATCTGAATTTCTTTACTTGCTTTCTGTTTAGAAGACCTATCTAAATACGAGATGGGATTATTGAAGCCACAACCCCCATTATTGTGTCAGGACTTATGTGGCCTTTTATGCCTTTTAGTGTATGAAATTAGGTTCTTCAGTATATTCAGTGCATAAATGTTTACAATTATTGTATCTTCTTGATAAATTGTTCTCTATATAATGTCCCTTTTTATGTCTTCTAATTAGTCTTAGTTTGTTTTGTGGAATACTTTTTTACACTGTAAAGATGTATTTCTGCCTAAGGCACCTTTTGATTGGTTTAATAAAGAGCTAAATGACCAATAGTTAGGCAGGAGAGAATAGGCAGGACTTCCGGGGAGAGGGGGGACTCTGGGAAGAAGAGAGGTGGGGATTCCAGTGAGAATCTGAAGAAGTTAGACATACGGTAAAAAGCACAGGTAACTGAGCCACATGGCAGAATGTAGATTAATAGAGACAGGTTAATTAAAGTTATAAGAGCTAGTTGGAAAAAAGCCTAAGCTAAGTACAGGCTTTCCTAATTAATAATAAGTCTTGGTGTCATTATTTGAGGGCTTGTGGTCCTGACAAGAAAGTACTACTACAGGTTTGAAGTTTACTTTATCTCATATAAGGATAACTATGCCTGCTTGTTTGCAGTTTCTGTTTGCTTGGTAATTTGTTTTCCATTTTTCATATCTTTGCTAGTTAAGTGTTAGTTGGAGATAATACATAGTTGGTTCTTGTTTTTTTTTTTTTTTGTTGTTTGTTTTTTTTTATTCGAGACAGGGTTTCTCTGTGTAGCTTTTGAGCCTATCCTGGAACTCGCTCTGGAGACCAGGCTGGCCTCTGTCTCCCTAGTGCTGGGATTAAAGGCGTGCGCCACAGCTGGTTCTTGTTTTTTAATCCAGTCTATATCTTTAGTCTATATCTTTATAGTGGTGAATTGAGGCCATTTACATTTTAGGTTATTATAGACAGGGACTTACTATTTCTCATATATATTCTTAGTGATGTTCTGTTTTGCTGAATTATTGGTATTTCTTTTCCTTTTCCTGTGTTAGTTTCAAGGGTTTGCTGTGTTGGATATGGTTGTTTCTTTCCCAGCTCTAGTTCATTTATCTGAACTGCTCATGTATTCATGTTATGCCTGCCTGCCTCCCTCCCTGCCTCTCTCCTTCCTATAAAGTACTCTAATAAGAATTTTCTACAATGCTGGTATTTGTTGTGAATTGCCTTGATTTATATGAAATATCCTTATTTTTTTCCACTAGGTTTGGAAGATGGCTTTGCTGGGAATAGCATTCCTGGTTCCTTAATTTGTGTATCTGTTTCTTTGAACCTTTATATGACCATTAATTCTTTGAATTATTGCTCAGATACTCAGCCATCTATCTCTGTACCTTTGGATTGCCTCATAGGTGTGTTGGTCGGATGGAGATGGGTCCTGGATGGTGGCTGTGTCATAGTATTTGTGTTTCTATGTTGTATTATGTTCATCTGTTGGAGTGGGCTTGCCTTTATTTATTTGACTTCCTCTTCCTCCAGTCCATTTAAATGTGTTATATTCTTCCTAGAGCAGTGGTTTTCAACCTTCCTAATGCCTCAACCCTTTAATATAGTTAGTTCCTCATGTTGTGGTGATCCCCAATCATAAAATTACTTTTGTTATTTTATAGCTGTAATTTTGCTACTTTTATGAATCCTAATGTAAATATCTGATATTCAGGATAGCTGATATGTGACCCCTGTGAAAGGGTCATTCAACCCCCAAAGGGTTGAGATCCACATGTTGAGAGCTGCTGTCCTAGAGGGATGTCTCTGTGAATTCAGCTTTAGGGACTGGTGAAACTTGGTGTTGATTGTCCAATGGAACCTCTGACATGATTTCCATCTTGGCTGTACACCCCAGGACCAACGAGCTGCACAGTAGGCATGGAGACAACCATATGGAGTCAAAACTTTGGTCTGCCCTTGGAATCTATGAGCCCACTAGGGGAAGGATAGCAAATGTCAGACTCACTGAAGCCTGTGTACTGTCTGGGGGCTGTGGCTAGAGTACAGGGCTGGAGTAATGTTCTGGAACCACAGAAGTATTGGTTTTCATTCCTATAGTGATCACTGCAGAAGTTAAAACCTCACAATCATACTGACTTTAGAGACCCCTGGAGTCAAAGCTTAGACCCTGCATGGGTCTCTGAGGCTGCTGGAGATGGGAACTTGGTCCCATGGTACTCCTGGGTCCCTCTGAAGCATCTTTCTCAGGTACTGTCTGGACCCACTGGAACAGAAGGAGAAGGCCTGTATCTGGTCCCCTGGGAGATAGAGGCCTGGATGCACAGTGCTTTCTGTACCCTCAGGAGCTGGGTCTGGGTGCAAGGTGCACTCTCTCAGTGTCTTTTGAAGATTATTAAATTTACCTTATGATGCTACAATTTGCTTAACTCTTAATTTTATACCTTTCCCTATATTATTTAACATCAGCAATTTTTATATATAATTTTAATAACTTTCATAATTTACTGTAAATTTCAATGTATTATGGTGGATTCCTAAAATGGTGTTTGCTATGTGAAAGGTTATTAGTTTTAATACTTGAAGGGGTAAATACTCTCATGTCTCACTTTATCTTCATACTGGAGGTCTTTCTTGCTAACTTGATAGATAAAAGGACTAGCTTACTAATTTGTTTCTTCTTATCAGGAAAATTAAACTTTTTTCATAGACCTATTAGTCATTTGAATTTCCTGTTTTCTATTTGTGTCTGGATGCTATTTCCAGGTTTCCTTTTGATTGAGCTTTTTTTGTTAAGAAAGTTCACTTATCACTTTAAGAATATTCCCCAGTTTTCTCATGATTCTAGTTAAAACCCTTTGATGTAATAATATATGGAAACTTTAATCTGCACAGTGTGGTAAACAGCTCTGCTCTCTGGAATGTCTTTTGGCGAATGTGTACTTCACCGTTGATGTCATCACTGATGTTCTGAGTATCCACCAGCTCATACCACACCATGGGAAACAATCTTTTCTTTTTGCTCATTAATCTGTGTTGCTTCTTGGATTATTTTTACATTCACTTATTTATGAGCCTCTAAATATTCATTTTCTGTCTTGCTTCATCAATCTTTTTTTCTTCCAAGTTTCAGTTAATCAGATAGCTAAGACAGTCGATGTCCTTGTATTGTGTTCAGGGTGCAGTTCCTGCATTAGCATGTGCTACAACTGGGATTTCTTTATATTTTTATGTTAAGAAAGCTGCAGATGGGGGTAATAAAATAACAATTCTGGAAGGGTGTTTTGAGGATTGAATAACTCCTATCTTGAAAGCATTGCAGCACATTTAATAAATGTAAGAGTTAGCTTTAAAAATGATAAATTCAGCGGGGCGTGGTGGTCACGCCTTTATTTCTGGTACTCGGGAGGCTGAGGCAGGTGGATCTCTGTGAATTCAAGGCCAGCCTGGTCTACAAAGTGAGTTCCAGGATAGCCAGGGCTACGTAGAGAAACTCTTTGTCTTGAAAAAAACAAAAAGATGAATTCATATTACATTTTAGTATATGGTAGGACTCTTCTTTAAAAAAATACTTTAAGTCATTCTTCCATATTTAGGTTCTGGATTAACATTAGATTTTTGTTTATTTTTTTTTTCCTTTTTAAAACCATTCCTAATAGGGCTACAGTTGCTCTAAATGTGTAAGTTAAACTGAAGGAAACTGACAACAGCTAGTATCCCCATCAAGACATTTGATGGTCCTCACCATTTCTTCAATTTTGACTTTTGTTTCTGCAAGATTTATTGTCTGTTTTGTATTGTGTTAACATAATAGTATTATTTTGTTTTACTTATTTGTATTATTTCATTCTATTTATTTGATTACAAACATTGTGTCAGGTATTGGGATGCTTCCTCTCTTCTCTATTTCCTTACTTGTATATTATGAATTGTCTTCTTTCTAAAGATTATGATCTCTACTGCTTTTCATTCAGATTTACTTGTGCTAATTTTCCCCCTCACCATCATTTAGGCAAAAACAGATAATATAGCAAGAATTTACCAGCCCAAGCGGTATGCCTTGTCACCCAAGACAACAGTCACATTGGCACATCTGCTGGCTGCCCGTGAGGATCTGTCTAAGATTATCAGGACAAGCAGTGGCATCAGCCGGGAGAAGACGGCATGTGCCATTAATAAGGTCAGTTTTTTTTTTTTTTTTCAGCCTGCTGGAGAATGATTAACAACTTTCTGGTTTGCTATTTTAAAGAATTTAGTCCATTTTTTTCATTTATGTTCATGGATGAGAAAAGAGTGGCAGAGGGCTTATATCCATCTACATTTATTTATCACTTGTGTGCACCTTTCGGTTTTTGTAGTCACGAGGTTAACCAAAGCTTTCTGAATTAGAGGAATTGAGAAGTACTTTTTCTAGTAGATATACCAAATATTTGCTTTACCCATTTGATTAGTAAGAATCTGCAGGAATTTTTGCCACTACTTATTTGATTTATTAAATTAAAACCTCTTTAGCATTGTCCAACTCTTAATGACAGTGGTGTTCATGAAGTTCAAGATGTCTGTGATTTTGACTGAGTAATGGCAGAGCTCTCCAGACAAATCCAGAATGTCACCATCAGCTTGAGTAGAAAGATTTCTGTATCAAGTAGAGCATCCACAGGCAATTTTATGACTAAAGAACAAAAGTATCACTAACAGTGGTGCAGGTAGTTGATTTGAGATAGGATTGCTTGCCTATCCTATGGCATTTGGTTTCCCCTCCCTCTCCCCTCCTGCATGCTAGGTAAGTGCTCTACCAAACCCTCATTTCTGTCCCTCCTCATTGCTGTCCCTCAGGATGGGTGTTTAAAGACAGTCTTTTCTGAGTTTTTACTTTATAGTTTGATTATTTGAGGGAGAGCTTATGTGCTGTTTTGGGGCAGCATCTCTGAAGTGCTTGTGTTTTTAATGGCATTTAATAAAGATCTAAATTGTAATTTTTTAAAAATAGATTTAAATGCTATATATTATCTACTTTTTATTTATTTAGAATAGCCACATTATGATCTTAGGATGAGACCAGTGTTAAAACACAGAATTTGTTTTATGTGTACCTTATACACATAGTATGAGGGTAGTTTTGTGCCATATTTTTTTTGGTGTGCCTGTGCTTCTACTGTGCAAACCAGGATGTCATTTGTAGAATTTTTTACTGTGCTCATGTTGGTGCTCAAAAGTTTTCAATTGTGAAGTAGTCAAGTCTTGGATTTAGAGTTAGGTTGTCCGTGCTGTAAAATTATAGTAAGTGCATCACTGATCTTAAGTTCAGGAGAATCCTTCTCTCTCTGTCACTTGTTATGTGACAAAGGTACACCGATTTGGAGTCTGGACAGATCAAAGTATGGATACCATCAACTTCCAACTAGTGAGTTTTATTGGGGTTACTCACAGGAATATGAGTGAGGGTTTACTCACAGGAATATGGGTGAGCAGAAATGTCTCAGAAAGCTATATCACCAAAGCCCACCCCAGCATGGTGACAGCTCACCAAAGCTGGGAACCTGGAGCACACTGTACAGTCTGCGGGCAGCTCAACAGGTGTCACAGTTTGAGCCTTCTCACAGCACCTTGCTGGTCTTCATTTCCTCATACAGTGCTGCCAATCTCTGCTTCTTCAGGGCAGTCGGGCTTGTCTTTGCAGCTCAGCTCCTGAGAGAGATGCTCAGCACTCTTCTGTTTACATATTTTGGGAAGGAGGGACCTAGTGACTGGTTTGTTTTAGGGACTTCTTGCAGCTATTTCGAGTTGTTTATTTCCTGTGTTAATGAGCTTCCTGTAGGATGGAATGTCTCATTCTGGGAGGAAACTGCTACAAAACATATGACTTATGATTATTGCTGCATGTTATATAGTCTTTATATGCTGATGGACTAAACATATCTGAGGAATGCAGATAACCCATATCTGAGGAATTTGGATAACCCATTGCCAAATCAACCCTTGTGTGAAGTCAGAGTTGTATTAATAAGTGGGTATGAAGTTGACTAATGTAGGTTATATACTTTGTGTCTTTAAAACATTTTGCTAAAATAGTTCTTAATGTGACAGATACTGTGCTTGTCATAAATTTTGCTAAACAAATTTAAATGAGAGAAAATTAACAAGACTTTAACTGTAGGGAATACTGCTATAGTTTGTTTAAAAATAATACTGTACTCTAAGGAATTTTGTCAAACATCACACATATTTTCAGTCTTAATTCATACTGCATGCAACCCTTTAATGAATTTAGCTTCATTATTTAGAAAGAATAACTTTAATATCATCTGAAACCTTTATGTAAATTTTAACTTTGAAAAACAGAAACTTAACGAAAACTCTTTTTACACAGGTGCTTATGGGCAGGGTGC